ATCATCATCATCATCATCATCATCATCATCATCATCATCATCATCATTATTATTATTATTATTATTATTATTATTGTTCTGATTCTTGTTACTATTATATTTTATTATCTAGGTCCACTATTAGCGGCAGCGGTCATTGCTTTAACCGGACAAGTTCTGCGTTTTGCTTCACCGAAGTTCGGCCAACTGGTTGCTGAAGAAGCAACGCGACGTGGGAAATTAAGAGAAGCGCATGCTCGTATCAGTGCGCATGCAGAAGAAATTGCATTCTATGGAGGTCACAATACAGAACATCGTTATCTAAGCTCCGCTTATAAGTCTTTGGTAATGCATTTGCATCGTATTCTCGCTGTTAAACTGTGGTACGTGATGCTGGAACAGTTCCTTATGAAGTACTTGTGGTCTGGCACGGGACTTCTCGTTATCGCAATGCCGTTGCTTTATAACACGGCTGCATCATCGGGAAGCGGGATGATTAATACGGATGGCGATGGTGTGTACAATGACTCAAGCATTAATATTTTTAAACAGAACATCTGGTATACAAAAAAGGCAATAATGATGTCATAGTAGTTTGTAGATTGATAGAAAGTTTTTTTAATATTTTATATTATATTTTTATTATTTAATTTTATATATATGTATATAAATTATATTATATAAATTATATTTTTTTCCTATACTATATTATTTTTATATACACTGTACAAAAAAACAAAAGGAAAGAGAAAAAGTTAATAATAGCATTAAATAATTATAATATAAATCTTAACAATAGTTTACAAACAAATATAATAATTTACCAACATCTACTAATTAGGTGGTGTGAGTGAGCGAACAAGATATCTGACCACTTCAAAAAATCTTTTGAGCTCTGGAGCAGATGCTGTCGAACGACTTATGTCGTCTTATAAAGTACGTATTTTAATTCCTGTTAATTTTTTTAATCTTGCATGTTTTGGCATTAAAGAATGAATTCGAAAGTTAAAGTTAAAGTCTTTGAAGATACGCGTGTAAGCTAAATATCAATTTAATTTTTATTAAAATAGGAATTAGTCGCATTAGCGGGGTATGCAGCGCGCGTCAGCGAAATGCTAGATGTATTTAAGGATGCTGCGCTCTGCAAATACAAGAGGAACATCGTTACCAGTAGTCCATCGAGATCCGTTCCAAATGGTAACGCTCAACAACTCACGGACAAAGTAATCGAATTTAGTAACGGCACTCCAATAATAAAAGGTAAATCAAAATATTTGACAACACAATAAAATTTAAATAATTAAAACTGATTTTATTGTCTTAGTGCATATTTCATAATATTTAAAGTTACTAATTATTTTAATTTTAATAAAATTACTATTTTTTTATTTATGATTTGATGATAAAATTATTAAACTATTAAAAAATTGTTTTAGTTTTCATATCTTAATATAAGAGTAATTGATTATCACGGAGATTACTTATTTAATTACAGAATTATTATATCATAATATTCACAAAACGTTAAGAAACTCCATAACTCAAGAAAAATACAACTCTCTCTCTCTCTCTCTCTCTCTCTCTCTCTCTCTCTCTCTCTCCCCCCCTCCCTCCCTCTTCCTCTCTCTCTCTCTCCCACCTTCCCTCCCTCTCCCTTCCCTCTCCCTCTTCTTTCCTTACCACTTTCTTCTCTCTCTCCCTCCCCCCACTCGCTTCCTTTTTTCTCTTTTTCTCTATTTCAACAAAATATTTATATTAATCATTTAATATTAAAGATGTTAATAAGTTACTTGTTATACGTATATATACTCATCGTCTTTTATACTTTTACTACGAAAATCATTATACGTGACTTTATTGTTTGTCAGGAATTGTTCGCGAAAGCACGGACGGCAGTATAAGTCTAATCAATGTACCGATAGTCACGCCTAATTGCGAAATAATTGTACTTAACTTAACAGTCCATGTAAGTAGTTATCACAAACTTTACATACATAATTACAGAATTATTATATTCCAATATTTAATATTAAAAAAGACATCCGTACAATATATATTTACGGCTTCTGTTACATATACATGACTATATTATACATATATAATTATTATATTCTTATGTTTCTATACTCCGTCCAATGAAAGATTGAGAGTAGATCGGACGAAAACTCGTCCGTCTCGCGCAGGTCTCCGCCCACAGAACATCTATTTACATATACACGGTACGCCAGGCTCTAGGGACTTTACCCCCACTTTGCCCGCCTATGCGCAAAACTACTCTTAATCTCTCGTTGGACAGAGTATACATAATTACATATAGTAATATACACTGGGCAACAAAATTATCGCAACAAAAATTTACGTCAAAAATTTGCCCAACTTCAAATAAGCATAACTCCGCGAAAAATTGTCATATCTGAAAGTTTTTTTTTATTTTAAAGGGTGAAGTCTGTACTTTAAGGAACCATAGTCATTGCAGATTTTGAATTTAGCCTTTCCCCATTTCGCCGTTCTTCCAAAAGTAAGGACGTGTTACGTCTCCAAAAAATTGCACATTTTGACACATTTTACGGAGTAGAATGAATTTTTTTCGTAACTATCATAGCAACCATAGTAAAATATGGACTTTTTCCTGCAAATTAAAAAAGAAATAAGTTCGTACGATTTTTTTTCGCCGAGTTATGGCTTATCAAAGTTACCTATGCATTTTTGTGCATTCAATCACCACCAACATTAGCATTACCCAGTGATGGACACCACGGGGAGGTTGCTCTGGTCGGATTTTGCCCATCGTGTATGTGTGTGTGTGTGTGTGTGTGTGTGTGTGTGTGTGTGTGTGTGTGT